AATATGCCTACACTCCCATGTAATGTGTTTTATGCTTTGAAGATGAATTCGATTTCAAGATCTCGTTATTAAATTTTTCGCGTAAAAGTCTAACATGTCGCACTCAATAACTTGGAGTCTTTTTTTTTTTTTTTGAGTAAAATAACTTGGAGTCTTTGATAGCAACATATTCCCGAAATAATTAGGCATTAAAATTTCGTAAGTGCCTAATTATTTTGGCTAATAGCCTAATATTAGTACAATTGGTCAAATGTCAAATTTCTATACCTCGTACGTAGACATGTTTTATTTCTCCACTTCACTAATTCTTTTAGTGAGTCAACTCAACTCAATCATGAATTAGGTTGTAGAAATCTTGCAATGGCCAGTGAATCACACATCACTTCCAAATGGCCAATTATTATCCAACAATTTAAGGATAATTATATTTTCTTCTCCATTCATGTTTCTTTTCAAAAAAATCATTTAAGATCAATTCATATATATACATATTTTTTCTGATTTAGCTTGAGCATTCAGTGGCAGAGTCAGTATAGGGTCAAGGGGGTCATAGCCTCCCAACATTTCTCAAATCCCTATTATTTTATTATATAGAAATAAAAAAAAAACATTCGTGTATATAATAGCATTAACACTCCCTCCAGATTTTTTTATAGCATTCAACCCCTCAAACTTAAAATTCTAACCGCGCTAATGTGAACGTGGTCTATTTTTATCGACAAACTCCCAACACCCGTAAGAATAGGGCAAACACCCAATACTCTTATATGTATGTATATATATGTGTGTTTGTAAATTGTTCCAATGTATTGAAGTAAACAAACAAATGGGCACAACTCACAAGCCAACACAACTTTTGGCCAACTTTTTGTCAAATTATTTTCTATTTGGAAAAGTTAGGTGCAACTTTTTCTTCGTATATGTATAATTTTTTTTTTCTTTAATTTTAATTTTCTCTCCATGATTGGTGTTATACAAGAAGAAAAATGCCCACCTTTGAATTTTCTTTGATTTCCCACTTTTGTACATGATTATTCTTATGATTCTTGAAATTTCTACCAAAATCAAATGATCAAAAGTTGACCTAATTGTCATGGGGTCCAACCAAACACAAAGGCCGTGATTGGCGTATAGCAGTTGTTTGTTGTTAGTTGCTGCTACCATTATATGAAAGAAAAATTATAATAAAATTTAGGGTAAATTACACCCACACCCCTGAGGTATGCTTAATTAACTGTAATGTCCCTGTGGTATCGATAATTACACTCACCCCCCCTGAAAGGTAGTTAAAAACTTTAACGGGATAATGCATTGGATACATTATTCCGATAGGGTTCTAATGGACTATTACTTTTAGCGGGGCAATTTTTTTTTTGGGGTTGTTTTGTTTTGGAGTTTTTAAAATGGGGTTATTTTTGAAGTAGTAATTAAATTGGTGTTGGCCGCCACTGGGAACGGCGGCATCGGACGGAGACGCCACCGCCGGTGGCGGCACCGCGAGGAGACGCCGCCACCAGTGGCGTCTTCTACTTTTTAAATTATTATTTTAATATTTAATATTTTAATATTTTAATATTTTAATATTTTAATATTTTTTAATATTTTATTATTTTAATATTTTCTTATTTTTTAATATTTTTATTATTTTTTAATATTTTAATATTTTCTGATTTTTAATTTTTTTTTACAAATAAAACAATTCTAACTACATTTTATTAAATTTATTACATTTTATCAATTAGATTTATTACATTTTATCAATTAGTGTTAAATTAATCGGTGCATATATTTATCTAATCAACACAAAAAAATATGTAGACAAAAACAAAAGGAGTTTCTAGAAATAAAAGAGTTATATAAAATAAATAGGTCCAATAAAAGAGTTATATAAAATAAATAGGTCCAAT